AAAATGCTCATTTCGACAACTTTTCCTCAAATCCTGACCATCTGGAGCCTGGGGATTAAAATTCAGTACAGTATATGAAAGATGTACAGTAGTTGGGTTTGCTGGAGGTGGGTATTTAAAAGGTTTTGGTTTATGCATATTGGCATTGTTGCACTGTGGACATGTTAGCACGATATCATTCTACATACACTGGTCCTGGCTGCCAAAGCTAGCAATCTTTTTGCATCCGAAAGTCTTGCTATCTGCAGCTGCTTGCTCCATGCGTTCAGTATCCACCAGGTTCTTCAGCTTCTTCTGGGATCTCTCTTCAATGCGCACTTCGGCTCTGCGGCATGCCTCATCACTCTGAATAATGTTTTGGAGAATCTTCGAATCTTTGTCCAAGTTGGTCTGGATGCTACTAACATGCACCGCCAATGCCATCAACATGTTGCTCTTGGGCATCTTGGCGTCCGTGCAATGAAACATGACTGGAACCGAATCCGCTTTGATGTCAGCCAAAGTCTCGAAGAATGTCATCCATGTCATGTCTCGGGGCTTTGCCACACTGTCATCAGTCACGCCAGCCCAGGCCTTTTTCCATTTGGTGTTCAACTCCGTTGCTTCATCTACCCTTCGCTGGTAATATTCCCTCCTCTCGATCAGTGCCTCCAGTCTTTGTTGTCGCCTGTCCTTTCTGGCCACGATTTGGTCATTCACAGTCGTTGAATAGGACCTGCACACGGGGACAGGCATCAGGTGTACCTAACCTGTCCCATTGGATGATGTTGCATGAGAGTACATATGGTTGTCTACAGGGTGGAGGTATTTGTCGGGCTAGTAACATCATGCCTCATCGTACCTAACCTGTCCCGCTGGGTAACTTGCATGAACACAAAGCATTATAGTTATAACCATTATATTATATATATACAGTATACATGAGCATAGTGAAGTGGAGACCCTTGTCATGCCATTGGTGAATGACACCCGTGCCTCGACTGCTGAATTTGAGCGGCGACAACCTGGTCCTGGACTGTAACCAATTCTTGAGCTTGCAAAGGCTTCCTAGCGTCTTTCAAGCGCAAAAGGCCTCCATGAAATCCGCCCAAGCGGCCAGAAGAAAAGAATGCTACTTTCCCGGGTTCTTGTGGTTTCTGATCCAGGTCATACATTTGAATGTCAACATTGTCATAGAGGTCCTCAGAGGATCCAATCACTCCAGATGTTGGCAGTACAAAGACGAAAGTAGGTGACTGCGGAGCGATGCTGAAGGGCATGTCCTCCAAAACCTTGCATGCGAAAATGATCTGGGGTAGTGGGCCATGTTAGGTACATAGAAATGTTTGTAAGTCTAATTGTGCGTCGTGTGTCGTGTCGAGCTATTTGTTTAAAAGCAACAGTAGATACCGGATACCGAGTCAAGAAGCCTGTGGAATGGAACCAGAAAAGTTGCTGAAGACGATCAAAGCCCCCACTCGTCGTTCATGAAAATGCTTGGCAGCTGATTTCAAGAGCTCACTTGATTCAGTTACACTACCGATGACCATTCCCTTCAAGCAGGGCCTCTCTGTCCTGTACTGCTTGATGAAGTCGACTCCAACCACTGCCATCAAGCAGGAGGAGGTCTCTGTGTTGTCAACCAAGCACATAGCCATCTTCTTCAATGCGATCCCTGGAACAACCAAATCACAAGCCAAGAAACGATCCTTTGCTGGAACTGCTGCAGCTTGCTGTATGGCAACATCAGGTGTCTTCTCTTCGACAAAGAACGGGGTTATGGACATGTTAGTCGCATTGTCCTCCCCCTTCCCATTGGCAAGAGCCTGGTCAGCGCTTGATCCTGCAGAGGGCGCATCCCCTTCCGTATCGCCATGTGCCCCCAACGCTGCCTCTGGCGGTGCTGCTGAAGCCGACCCTACCAGGGCTGTGGGAGCCGAGGTGACTGCTGATGTCTCTGGCTCTACTGTGGGAGCCAGTGGTGCATTCTCTCCCCCTCCTGCGGGAGCCGGTGTGACTTCTGATGTTGTCTCTGGCCCTGCTGCAGGAGCCGGTTTGGCTGCTGATGCTTTCTTTTTCCCTGGTTTGGCTGCTGATGGTTGCTCCGGGGCTGCAGGACTCAAAATCTTCTCGTGACATCGTTGACCTGACGCGCTTGCGCTCTCTCTTTCTCTCTCTCTCTCTCTCTCTCTCTCCCTATCTCTCTGTGCCTCTCTTTTTATCTTCTTCCCTCTTTCTGTGCAATGCCCTACATGTACATTTTTGCTAAAACGGTGTGTCAAGCGCAGTTCAATACACAAATGCAGTATTCACAGGCTTGCACAGGGCGTCATGTGCTATGTTAGCTTGACTGAACTGAGGAAAGCACATAGAGTGTAAATCAGGAGGCTCTCGATCTCAAGCTTACGGGTCTTTGATTGAAGCTTCACCTTGTGGTGTTTTGCCTCAAAACGCAATTCAGAAATTGTTCTGCCACCAAACTCGCCCGTATACTTGTGAAGTGAATCCGCCAGCGTTCGAACTGCTTCACCCAAGGCGTTGGCGTCCTGGCCAAAATCCTCAGGAGGGTCACAAACATGGCCCCTGATCGCAACATGCTGTAATACCCCTAAAGGTGCCCCTTCATACCCCTTCCACAAAAACTGTGTCAGCGATGTTGTCCAAGAGACGGAATCCAACAGTTGAAGCCCATCGTACCCATTTGGCATAGCAACCACAAACCCAGTGCCCTTATCGTTTCGGGTAATTGATTCATCCTTCTTGAGCGTTTGCAGCAACTCCTCTTTCATGGGAAGTTGCATGGACCAATCACATGGATGCACGGGCGCTGTGTAGGTTTCACCCGCCTCCGTAGGGAGTCAGAGTTCCTGTTCTCAACTGTTTGTTTCCCCAACATACACTTACACCCTAGGGTCCTGGGACAGGTTAGCTACACAAAGATTCTTGCCTCAGAGAGATCATCGTCGATAATCGCTGCTGTGAGCTCCAATGCGTTGGCACCAACAGCCGCACAGTGGGCATCTGACACATTCTGGACAACCGCTAGCTCTGCCATGCGAGCCATGTTGTCCAAACCAATGGTGTCCTGCACAGGACCGGCTGTGAGGCACCCGTGATCACGGTTCTTCCAATTCCACACAACACAGTGGTCCATGTTAGCTCACATGCAGACCTCAAGAGTAAAAATCAAATTGCCTTGGCAAATGCATGAATGCATTCCTTTACTGTTACAGTACTCTTGCGCCATGTTCCTGATCCGATGGAGCTTCCGCCGGTGCAGGAAGGGGAGGAGGCGGTTCTTCCTGCATAGAGATCACAAAAAAACATGGCTGCCATGCAGTACGTGCAGCACAAATTGGTCATACAAGGTCAGTTAGTTACAGTATATACAGCTAGTTACGGTACAGTATATTCAGTGAATAGAACCCGGTTGCAATACAAATGGCAATATTGGTGACGTGATCTTATATATCTACACTACACTTTGTTGGCAGTGTTCCTGTCCTGCTTGGGATCATGCGCCTCAAATCTTATTGCAAACAGCTGTTCACAGTCTCCAAACAGGGGTTGAGCTTCTTCATCGGATGATGGAGCCCCAAGCTGCTTGGCTGTTTCACGGTCCACAGTTTTGATCTCCAAGATTTTGAGAGGAGGTAGCCTGTTTTTGGTATAACCTTGGGCGACTAACATATCCAGCAAACATCTTGTAATCTTGGTGCTACTGTACATCTCACAATGACAAACACGCAGGCTGCAGAAAAGAAACCTTTAGCAAAAACTGCATGCGTTGCCCCAGGTAGTCTGCTCTCCCAGTGCTTATTCTTCTGTCGAAACTCCCAGCACTTGTCTCCATTCTGGATCTCATTGAAATAGCGCGCAGCCAAGGTAAAGTGCACAGTTTTCTCCTGACTTGACCAGACGTGTGATTCCAGGGTTTTGCCATGAACCAGCTTCAACTTGGACACCCACTGTATGAGAGCATCCCTAACCTGTCCCAGCGCGCGCTGTCCTTCAACGGTGGAGATGTCATCTTG